TGATTTATTAACTACATTTTGATGTCAAGTTTAATTGTATACGTTAATGAGGATGTAGCTTAGTTACATTTTGATTGTAACATTGTAAATGTAAAAAGCCATGCCATGCACTTTCACTCACCTGTATTGAGTGTTAATAAAAGCAAGGTTCTACAACTGCTAATATATACACAACTATTTCTGTTAAAGTTTAATGCAAGTGTTATGATTTAGATAGGTTATATAGCATGAATGTTAAATTATTTTTAGCTTGTTTACGTAACTGTTTACAAATCATACATTGTGTAGTTCAACTGCTGTGAATTCATGATTGTTATATTATTGCACCACGTTACTAGAACATTCAACTAAGTTTTTCTTGTTGTTTTAATTTAATATTATTGCATCATAATATCTTGTTGTGTATGGAATGTTCTGGGCCACCATTGGGGTATCAACACACAACAAAAATTTAGTTCAAGAATTAGATATATTTAGATTGTATGATCGTGAGTTTAACCATAAAGAGTGTATAGTAGTGATTTCTAAAGTGAAATTATCACAGACTGTATCGTAATAACAAAGTAGAGAAGAAATAATTTGTCTTGCCAGTTGTGTTCTAAAGTAATTGAACCAGCTTGGGTGGATTTTGATGAAAAATAATTATTTAAAGCTCTGGATACAACTGTGATAACCAACAGTGTAATGAACATTTGTATATACATTTGGCTTGTTTTAATATATTATTTTAAAACAAGTGGACTGTGTGCTGTTTGTTTATTGTTGAAATTTATCACCAACAGTCACAGCCACCTACTGTAAAGAATCCAGCCCATACATAAAAACTGACAACATTCTGTAACTTACAACTAATAATAATAATAATAGTAAACTGCCTACATTTTCTATTTATGCTAAGATGCTTTATAAATGTAGTTTTTGATGAACATTTCTTAAATTCAACATGATCTAAACTGGCTCAGTAATTAGGTTACAAATTCAAAAATGTGTTTTAATCCTGTGATGTGTTGCTATTTAGTTGACTCATAGGAATTTAAAATTATATAATGGGACTATAAAGGAAATATGAGATCATAAATGAAAGGTAACCTTTCTGCAAAGATTCAGCATCATTGTCCAATAGCAGATTCATTTCAGTCAACTTTGCCTGAAAACTAAAGTCAAAAGGAGGAATAACAGACCACAGCAAAAAATGTATTTCACCAAGGAATGAAAACACACTGTCAGGTGGAACATTGTGGAAGTGAATGGAGCTTTGCAGCATAATGCAAAAACAAAAAAGCAAACATTCGAGATTAAATGGAGTTTCACAAACTCTGTGAACAAACAGTACTGGAGAAGTGCAGTAAACCCTTAACAATACACAAGATCTAACATCTTCAGCACACAGTAAAACATGTATAATGCCAAACCTCTATGCAAGGTCATACACCTTTTGGATGGTCAAAAGGAATAGAAACAGCATGCTCCCTCTTTACAAAGGCTTCTGCAGTTGGCATATTTGTTCAATCAGGTGGTCTACTGTGGATTGCTGTCCACCAAAAACACAGTGAGTGTTAGAGATGAAGTTGTTTGCTTGTAAGAACCAAACAAAATGACTGTTTATCATTCTCTACAAAAATTTTAAACAAATAGCTGTTCAAAGCAGTAGGCTGAAAATTTGAAGGAACTTAGAATATTTTCTGGGCTTAGAAGAAGGGGTGAAAATAGCATAATGCTGCAAGTCAGAAAACTTATCCTGCCAGATCCAGTTTAACAAAAGGGAACTTGAGGAAGACAGAGGCAGAAGAGATGTAATAACATTTCATAATAGATGTTATCTTAGGTGATATTTGTTGCCCACTGACCCCAACCACCAAGTTGTCTTACAAAGGGACATTCTACATTGCCAAAGGCTCAACAATGCCAGGGTTTCATGGCTACTGTACTCAACAGAATTAAAATTTATTCATTAAAAAGTTTTTTAGTTTTCAACAAAAATTATAACAAATTGCAAATTTTGATTTGTAGCTAATTTCAGCATGCATTCATTTTTGAATGTTTCCTGAATTTTTCTTGGCATAATATGGAACTTATAGCACCTAAGAGGAAATTCACAATGGTTTTGAACAAAACAATATTAATATCCTTGTAATTTGAATACAAATGTAGTTTAATCAGTTATAACCAATCATTGTTTTTCAACCTCAACTGTCATGGTAAGATGAAATCGCTTACACCTCAGCTTTGAGAAGTCACAGGCGACTGATCTACACATCATGAAAGCTCTTTTTCTGTTTGTTTGAACTGCAAAGGTAATAATTTGTGTATAGGTCAGAAGGAAGTGAAAAAAATTCAGTTTCGTGATATGTTGGTAAAAGAAAAAAGAAAAATGCCTATGAACAAATTTTACTACAATTATACACCTGATTTGTTTTAAAGATTGTAATGGGCATTCTCTATTGTTTTATATTTCATCTGAATCATTATGTTAAAGTATTGTGCAAATATAACTATTGTTGAACAAGATGAGATAGGCTTAGTTAGATCATTCTGCACTTGAATGTGTCAAGTTTTTTCACCAACAAGTTTCTGTGTTAGGTCTTATTCAGTAAACCATATCAGCCTATATAACTGCTCAAATGGATCAATAAAATCATCAAAAAGAAATGTAAAAAATATATGAATGATTATAAAAAGAACTTAAAACAAATTACATATATTAAATAAACCTTCTCTTTAACAATTTAAAAATTATACTTTTGAAATGGTAATTCATTTTTATTGTAATTCAGTTACTGTAAAAATAAAACTGTGCGCCTTGATTTTTGAACCAAACAAAGATAAATTATAGTTTTATAAAATTAAAACTTTATATTAAAGTTTTAAAAGAATGTAGGGAAACAAAAAAATCAGTTATTAAAATGTACAATAAAGGTTAGCATTTTGAATTTTTGTCAATAAAAAATAAGGAACACAATAAAATCTTTTTGCAATTACTTGATATCCAGTTAGGAGGTTCTAAGGGTTATGCAAATATATTATGCAAACTGTTAGATGAAAAGAAATATACTTATTCTGAGCATTAAAACCACCTTTCATCCAGTCTGACTGAGTATAGGTTTTGTACATTCACAGACAAATCTTCTGAAAAATACTTTATCAACAAATCAGACTTTTTATGTACAACAGACTTGTAATATTTAC